ACAACCCTGAGCTCCGCAGTCCCAAGGGGTAAAGCAAAAGCTGTTTTCCTGGAATTACCAATACTGGATGTATATGTACATGTACATATCTTTTTTTCTTCCAAGGTAGTTGGTGTCAAGAAGCAGCTGATGCAGAGACGTGCAACCTCAATGCAAAAACGTCTGTTGCTGATGGGTGTCAGAACAAAGGGAGATTACCCGTCAGGGATTGGAGTTATTTGCATACAATCTATTGCATGTCCAGGCAGAAAAGGTTAAAAAGAGGACTGAGGAGGTTTAGGAACTATCTGTACTTCAGTGAAGCTTTAAATCAACTTAACACTCTCACAGCCCTTCGGGGATTTGCATAATTTCCGTAACATGCAGCATGGTTTTTTGCTTCCTGATAGAAGCCATCAGTTATGTAAGCACATTGGTTGCATAATTATGCAGATGGAAAAATAAATTTAATTGGTTCAACAGAGAAGTGTGCTGTTCATTTCACCTGGGATTTCTTTTAACTCGGTGAGGAATAAAATAACTTGGGAGAGGTAATCAGCAGGTGACACTGCCAGATACCAGCTCCATTGCCTAGGGTATGCATTTTCAAATGGAGCCAGAGCACCGCACCCCCGGCACCCTCCAAGCACGGGAATGAATTCCTACTTTTTTAGCTAAAGGTCTCAACACTTAACTGCTTATGAGTATCACCACAATATTCCACGGGAGTAGTACTGTGGCTTCATCTGGTCTCATTATTCCCTATCAGTTCCCAGGATACATCCCACTGGCCTAGCAAGAGCAGCATAGTTGTTTCCCAATGGAATGCTTGTTTTATACCAGATAAAATTAACATCTGAAAAAGTTTGTATTTTGACTACCTCTTATCTCCCAACAGAAGCAGAATTTAAGCAATGCAAGCGGCAACTGAGCCATTTTCTCCTTGCTCCTTTGTTTCTGTCCTTGTCCTTGGTCTGCAGATGGTCAAAAAGCGGCATCAGTTTCTCCAGTCCCATCACGTGCAATGGCACAGAAGATCCGAGGCCAATAATATCAGCATTCATTTTTTGATACTACTCATCATTCTAGTCATTTTAGAAAAGAATTATGCAGAAGGGGTTAAGACTGAAAAATGTAGATTTGGGATTTGCCAAAAAAGCCCCTGCAAAGATGCAAGACACATCTGGAGAACACGAAAGGACAAAAATGTGAGCCAGTGATTGCTCTTAATGTGGCTGTATTTTACTAAGCTGAGGAGTATGGCATTAAGATTTTGGTAAGTAAAGTTCTATTACTACACCAGGGACATTTAATTTTACTATTTCTCCTCAGGTGAAACTCTCACTAACACCCATTAGAGTTCTTCAGCGAACTGAGCACAGCCCATATGCGTAGCTGTAGCCTCCGCTCAAGTCGGTAGTTAAAATTGGAAGCTGGCCATGTCCACAGCTGGGAGTTCCAGCTCGATTTATTCATGAGCATTTGCTACATTATGTGCTATATGGCGTGGTGAAAAACTGCATAGTCTGACTGATTTCACACATTCTTAACCTCCTCATGCAGCATATCATACTCTAGATTCTTGTACTAGTTATGAGATATTAAACTCTCCATGTCTACTTTGTCATTTGCCTATCCTCCTGCATACCTAAGAATATGAATACAGGGATCTGAACGGAATTAAGTTAATGACAGTACTGACTCACAGATATTTTGGATACTTCAAAGAGTGAAAAACGTTTATTAACATCTTAACAACTCCTCCAAAATGATCCCCCCAATTGCTCTTTACAAAACATCATCAAACTATCAAGCTTCTATTTCCAGCTTCTCACCTTCGTCCCCAATGTGGATTAAGAAACTCTCAAAACTATCAATGTTTTGAAATAAAATTGTGGTAAGACTTCCAAACAACACTATTCTGATTTAGTTAGAAGAAACTTCCATACCTAACAAAAGTTATCTTTCCAAAAGCGTACCTTGTCATCAGTGAAAGCTGAAGAAAGATTTTTACAAAGGGAATTTCTCATGCATCTAACAACATACTGAAGGAGCACAGCGTTGTCTAGACCTAGCTATTCAGCACAGCATAGGAAAGTTTTTTTTGGCACATTTTTCTCTCTCTCTCTGCAAACAGGTAAACATACATTTTATTTCCTATATGAAAAATTAAATACATCAAACACGTTGCTTGACCTCAAACAGACACGTTCTTTCAGCTACCAAGAAACAGTAACTTATACCTGGAGAAAAGCAAAAATACAGGTACTGAGTGGCTGACTCTGCAAAACTGCATTGTCTCTGTTGTACTTAACTTTATTATTTGGAAAAATTTTTTTCATCTTTCCAGGCTCGTTTCCATTCCACGCTGGAGTTTGTCCTGTTTAGCACATGGAACTTCTGTCACCAAAATGGTACCGAGAATGCTGCTCAAGAAACCCTTCTGGCGTTTCGATACACATCAAAATGACCAGATTTGAACGGTATTTCAAGTGGACCCAGACAGTACAACAATGTGGAATACGGTAAAGTTGTTTAAATTGCCTACTGGTTTATCCTGGTGATAAGGAGAAACACTTACATTGACAGAAACACCAGATGCACCAGTTGTAACAAAACTTCTAAGCAACGATGTGGGGAGCCTGCTTTGCTTGTTAATATAAAACATGACAGATTGCATCCTATCAGCTGAAGATGATACTCGGGAGATGGAGCCAAAACATTGCACAAATTTTACACAGCCTCAAGTTAAGCTAGAAGGTCAATGATTAACCTCTGTCTGAAAAATAAAGCAACATTTGGAATTTTTTTTCTGAGGATGATCTAAGTGAAAATTCAAGGTTGCTTATAATGGCAAAAATAATGTCGTGAACATCCCAAGCTTTGAAGCCATACAGATTACTAAGAGAATTTTGTCCTTCTGCATCTCTCAAACACAGTATTAGCCACATCTGGTATTGCTTACAGAAATACGGGATTTAGCTGAGGTTCAGACAGCCTCAGCCTAATTCCAAGGGAGATTAAGCTACAAAGGATCTTACAAAAAGTAATTAGCAAAAATTACTTAGTTTCTCACTGCCAGTTTTAGTTTGTTGAAACCTTCCAAAATTACTCTTGCCACTAATGCTGGAGGGGCTGGAAGAACGTCAGTTCAGATCCCTCATCTGAAACGTGATCACTTCTTATCCAGTCTTTCAGCTACTGGGAAACAAAAGCAGAAGAATGCTACTGGATTTGACCAAGTGGATTGCCTTACAGATGGCAGAGCCATCTTGGTGAATACCGAGTGGTGGAACCTGAAGTCTGTTTGAGCTAGTGTCAACTGTTCTTCAACAGAAATTTTGAGGTAAGGGGCTTTTAAAGAAATGCCATCTGTTTGTTAGTACTGAATCTACCACTTTTTTTGAAGGAAAGCAGATGAGTTGCCTACAGGAGAATGATACCCTGTGAAAAGACAAGAGCCTCTATCCTTGCATTTTTCTGTACAGGTGGCACAGGAGGCAGGCAGTGATCTTGGCAGTCATCAGATTGAATCCTCTCTCTTCCAGTAGCAACTCCCAGACAGACTGGATGAGCAGTGGTATCGAAAAGGGTCAGGACCTGATCCTGACGAGGGTAAGGAATCTAACAACTGTCGATCTGATTAAAGACATCAGATTAATGGCATGAACCTCAAGACTAGAGTGGCAACCCCTCCAAACAAAAAAACACCGACATCCCTCCAAAACCCTCCATAATCATCCAGCGCTAAGTTCACGATGGCTTTCACGATTCAGAGGCGCAAAGGACACCTGCAATAATGCTGCTCGAACTGGGAACAGACTCATGCTGCCACAAAACCAGGGAAAGATTTTTCAAACATTGAAGGCTTATGCCACCATCTTGATCTCACTTATGATGGAATAGCCTTAAAAAACCCGTTAACTTCTATACCCAAGAGAATGGAGATTTTCAGCACAAAAAGCTGTAAAGAGGATGGAGAGCAGGACCAAAAGAACTGTATTACTGGCACCTTTTGTGCAGGCTGGTACTGGAGATTGGAACACCACAAAACTGGGGAGCTCAGGCAAGTATCAACTTTGACAGAGGTCATTTGCCAAGAGAGTTTTCCCCGATACGAAATGCTGGGTTCTTCTTACTCAGGCTGCAGATCAGTAGATGAAGTGTGACTTAAGCAATTCATGCTCCAAATCAGATTCAGAATTTGCAGATGGGAAAAAAAATTCCTGAAGAACCAGGAATGCTAGAACCAGCTTGCTACAAGCCTCCATCTCATCATGCAGTTGGGCAGAAACTAAAAAATGGGCAAAATTACTTCCTTCTAAGAGCACAATCAAGAGAGAAAGCAAGTTTTCCTTTTCAGTGGAAGTACGCACATATACAAATGTGAAGCCATAGACAAGTTATTACCAAGACACAACTAAACCTTCAGCTGTGAGCAACTTGTGTAGACTCTCTCAGTTCTGTCAAGTAAGGTATCCTAAGTCAGGCATGTCTCAAGTGATTTTGAAATTATTTTATTCTCAGTGCTTTTTACTGGGTTTTTGGAGTAAGGAAATTTAAGATCTAAGGGGCACACAGATGGGACAGTATCCTCACAGGATACTGTGAGGAAGACACAAAGAAACATGTATTACTTCTACAGACTATGAAGCAATGTGAAAAACATCTCACACAAGAATAGTAGATGCACTCAATCAATGCACTTATATACTATCGCCTGCTGGGAGAAGAGTAACAGTGCTAGATTCTCTGTAAAAAAGGAGGATGTAGGTTCTGAGGCTGCAGCTTCCTCATTATCTAACAATGCCATTACAAAACATCTATGCAAGTCAGTGTGACAATCTATATAGGTAGGGAAAAACATTACTCTTTCTGTGCTACTATCTGCATTATCATCAATGGAAGTATTTAAAAACACAACTTGAGTTTGAAGCCTTGCTGTAAATCAGCACAGTGGGAACTGCTTTTATTAATTTGTGTTATTTTCAACACTGATTGCTTTAACCATTTACTGACTACTAAAACAGCCAGACCTTCCCAGCCCATTTCATATTCTCCTGAAGCCATTTTAGAGCAGATGTAAGCTCCAAGCTGTAAACTTCTTCCATATTAACATTCATTGTCATATGCTTAAGAAAAAGCTTTGGATCAGATATATGAGCAGCCAGGATCAGTCTCTCTGCTGCCGCTTGATAGTCACTGTTATTCTGAACTGTCTGATCTTCACATCTGTAAGTGAATTTTCACAAATACAAAATTAGGTACCATACAGGCCCTGTGTCGCTTGCCTGATGCTTTATATACTGGCAACAAGATTACAAAAACATTAAAACAATGCCTTGTGTTTACTTCACTTAGATTATATTAATTTCCAGACAAACTTTAGCTGATTATTCTGAAGAATTAAGAAGTTAGAAGTATATTTTTAACATATTTTACAGTAACGAAAACTAACGGGATTTAATGCCAGTGCACAGTAGGTCTGCAATATTCACAGCACATTTCATGAAGAAATGTTCGACTCTGGGATGGAAAATTCAGTAAAGGAATATAAACCATTTTATGAACTGGATATAGCAAGATTTCATGTACATGCTTGAATCCAAAAGGATTACTCATTTTTGTTATGCAATCACTTTTGGAATAAGGATGTGCCTAAGTGACATGCCTATGTTTTTGCAAGAGCAGAACTGACTCTTTAAGCAAACAACCAGAGGTACAATAGCATACACATGAAAACAAGAGTTAAAAAAACTTCTCATTTATCAAAAGAACAAAATTAAGAGACATATTCCTTGGGAAAGGTAGAGGGGAAGAAAGACAGAGGACTTCAGTTTGAGATGCCCTTCTTCATCCTTCTTAACAAATGTAGCTTTTCTATGCAGTTTAACATTTTGATGCTGAGCCAGTCAGCCTCAGAGAAAATGGCGTCTTGAAAAATAAATTATAGGTATAATCTAGCAACAGTGGTTCGTGGTTTATGGACAAAAGGAAAAAGCAACAAAACACATTTTTATTTGAAGGTATTAAGGCTCCCAGAAAGGGCAAAAAATCTAATAAATTTAATATTGAGGTATCCCCTATAAAGATAATAAAGTAAAATGGCTTCGTGCACTTTCCAAAAAACAGCCAAAAAATGTTGGACTTGCTTGTTGAAAGGAGTAACATTTTGACCATGCCCTTCTACTCCACTGCTTAACCACAACACAAGAATCTATATAGCAAGACATCAAGCTACCCTTTTTTTGAAAATACAGTACACTCTTAGTGCAGTAGACACATTCAGTTAGGTAACACAGGCCAGTTACCACTCTGGAACAATTACTTTTCTGCTACACAAAACCCAAACATCTACTGTTCTATAACCAGTTTAGAAACAAGGATTAAAAAACAAGTTTAAAATCAAGCATTCTCCTTCCCAGCCAATGGAAAATAAGATCTATCGTTAATTACATGATCACATGGATAAATACAATCAAAATGATACATATCTGACAACAAACCTTTTCAGTATTATTTGAAGAGTCTGACTAGTAGCCATTGGACTCTGAATATCACTGGCATTGGAAACAAGAAATATTTCAATGGCCAGCAGCATCTCAATCTCAGACAGGTAAGACGGAATTCTCAAAAATTTGTGATATAAATTTCCCTGCAGTGGTGGGTAGCAACCCAATGATAAAGCACCTGAGAGTAAATGCAGAAACGTAAGGAATTAGGATTACCAATACTGAACATAGATCTGTTTTCTTTGGTATGTGGCTAAGAATGTGGAAAAAAAAGCCCCAAACTCTTAATGGATTTTACTATTTCACCTTGGAAATGGCCTGATTTGAGAACACAGCACATAGCATTCACTCATAATATTCACTGTTGTAAAATGTTATTTTTATCAGTGAATATTATCAGCAATCATTAAAAAGCTCTGTCAGAAATCCAGGGACTCCAAGTGCGTAAAAATACAAGTATAATTTAGGACAGGCCACACAGCTTCTTTATTAAGTATGATCACAGTGAGAGAATATTTGAACAGCATCTCCCCCTTTGCTCCCCTTTCTTGTGCCAAGTGATCCCAGAGACCCAATCTATACAGAATCCCGGGGGGGGGGAAGAAAAAAAAAAAAAAAAGGAGGGGGGGGAGGAAAATCAATCCTTTCCATGTTAACAAAGCCAAGTATCCATCCCTGGAGGGATGGACTCCTTAAGTACCTTGCTAACTGCCACAATTCTAAGGTGGAATCAAACAGTAAATAATGTGACAATATGGAGATGGCTCTTGGTGGACCCTATCAGAGTAGCACACCCAGTATTATCTTAGCTCAGAAGTGGGGAGTTGGAAACAATCACAGACTCAAAGAAATCTAATCTACCTAGAGGAAAATATGAAGAGGATACACGTTAACCATTTCAGGGTTCACATTTTTGAAATTATGAAATTTCAAATTCTGAATGTATTCTGGATGTAAAAAACTTATTTTTAACAGAATTACTTTTATTTCAGGCCAGGTAGTATGCACTGATTCACATTTTCAACTATCACTATTTCCCAATAAACATTCTGGTTACAAATAAATTCAACAGTGACACAGAAAGTACCATTCCCATTTCTCCCCAACATACTGAGCTGTTATGAGCGTATGTTACCCAAAGAACATAAGGGAAGGTATACTGTTTAAGAAGCAACTTACTTTTGTAATAGGTCCTAGCTTTACACCACAAAGAACTTCTTCCCAAAGCTGTGATTAATTCTCTAAGTAAAAAAAAATCAATAGCAATGTTTTTTGAAAGCATGAAGTCTACTGCAGAAGATGAGACCCCAAGATTCTTGCTCTCAAAACAGGCTTTTATCAGCTTGTTAAAAAGGCAGTTGTACTGAGAAACATTTACAGTATCTGAAATGAAATGAAGAATATTAACTACTAAATTAAGTCAAAGGCAAATCTAATTGAAGAATCGCTTCTCAATCAGTACCTAAATCAGGACTCTTGCTTCTATCACCAAAATGGAACAAGATTGAGATAACTTATGCTAATGCTTTATTCACCAAAAGTCTTTTCATACACTTAGTTCATTCATGTTGTGAAAGAGAAGCATTAAGGTCCAAGCAATAATTGGCTGCCAAAACCAACAGGATCAGATAAAAATATATCCACTTGCCCAAGCCTATAAATACAATCTTCACCTGATCTCTCAGACTTAAAATCTGCACCAATAAAGATCACCTTGGTGCTTCAAGTGTTACTTCTACTCTTACTCTGAAGCGTCCACTTCCCCTGAACTGTCCCCTTCTTGGCAGGGCTGAGCAGCCTTGTATCCACCTCATGCCTCAAAGGGCTAGATCCTTTTAGGATTCTCCAAGTAGATGGTCTTCCAACTAAGCTCTCCTAACATACCTAAAAGCACACACTGGCAACAGGACTGAGACCTACACACAGCAATCAGCTGAGGTTTCCTCAGTGGAGCCTAAGTAACTACGCATCTCATCTTGAAGTACACATCCAAAATTTGTCAGATAAACTGAGTCCAAAAGAGCACTCAGTTGTTAACATGGTATGTAAAGGTCTAGGTCAGCTAGCTCAGTTACAGAAAAAAAGCAATGCATTCATCTGAAGTTAAGATAAAATGAATCGTCCTGATGATATCCGTGTTTTCTTTCATTGTATAGACTCTGTGTGATTCTTGAAAGTTTAGTGGGTCCTTCCTTTTGCCCTGTGTAACTGAGCCAATTGGAAAAAGAGGACAGGTGTATAAACTCCACGTGTGCGTGTCAAGAGCTGCAGAGTACAATACATACTTTAACCGACACTACATTCTTTGGGGAAAAAAAAAAAGGCTTGTCTAAAACCATCCTCCTTCTTCAACAAATTTTAGCTGGAAAACAAACAAAAAGAACAGTACAGAATCATCTGTTAAATTTTTAGCTCTTAACACAGTACCTTTTTCTTTACTTACCAGAACGATTTTGAAAACCAGGTAAGTTCCGCAGAACTTCAAATGCCTGCCTGTATAAACTCTTCGTCAAGTATTTGTGCACTAGTGTACATAACAGGTTATGTCGATTGAGGATATCCACTTTATCACAGGGCCACAATGGTGCATTTGTGGTCCACTCTGACTCTGTGGCAAACAACAGGGCAGTGTTATTTCTATGAACTGCTGCATGCTGAGACTTTTGGCCATTAAGAATATACTGTAAACTGTAGCTGAAAACAAATTTCAGAATTTCACAGAAAACACAGTTCTAGTTATTAATAATTCATTATCATCAATACTTATCAGATGAACTCTCTGAACCTTTATATTGTAAATAATCCCTTTTATTAAATATCATGGTAGTAAAATGGACTATCAGTGGCATATATAAATATACATGCGTGTATATGTATGTGCATAGATATATACATATTTATAAAACTGAATAGCAAATTTCAGATCCTCAATATTAAACAAGAATAGAAAGTGTTCTGTAAAGTATACATCTGAGTTTCTTCTCTTCAGCACATTAGAATTCCAAAAAGCCAGTAATTACATGTTATTTAATTGGAGAAATATGGTACTATTCTAAAGCTGTTTTACTAAACGTGGATACTGTGAGGGGTAAAGAAACACTGCACATTGACTCAAGCCTGAAAATCTTTTGACACCGATGTCACCTGACTCAAAGGAAGTCTACATGGGGCAAGATCACTTTCCTAGCTGCACCCCTCCCTTATTATGGTAGGCTTTTGAGAAGAAGTTGATGGCAGACTACTGTGAAAACTTTTCTGAGAAAATTTGGTATTAGTCATAATATTTCTTATACATACCAAGAATACTACTAACCAGTAAGATGGATCACATTTCATTTTTGTTGTCCTAGTATTATTAACTTTAATAACATGGACCAGCTTGTAACTTTTATCTGAAATCTGTCATGGAAGGGGACTGTTCAAATTTAAGTCAAAACTCAGTTTTTTTTATAAGACAAGCTTACCTCTCAATACCCATGTCGCTCCATCCAAACTTCCTGTTTTAAGAAAAATTTCTGCAGCTTTATTAACAATTTGACATCTTGATGCTAAACTCTCTGGCCCTGTAAGTCCTTTCAAGACCGTAAAATGTATCTTTAGCTCATGCAATTTATCCAAAACCTTCCTTCCCTAACGTAAGAGGGAGAAGGGAAAGGCGGATGGTCAGAGAAAGCAATGGTATCAGTGAACACAAGAGTATATTTACACAAAATACATCAGATTTAATTCGGTGATACAGATTTATAGGCATCAGTTTAGTTATCCAAAATGAGTCAGGGAAAGAAAAAGTATAGTAACATTTCTAATGAATAGTTAGGGTTTTTTTGACTGTGTAGGCAAGCCCCCGCCCCCAACCTATTGTTGCACAGTTCCCAGCACACTATTCCTTGTAACGCTATTTCTACTACATAATGTTCCTATACAGAATTTTTAACATACTTTGCAATTAATTTGTATTTGCTTACTTCAGTATATTAGTATTTTCACCCTTTTGATTCCATTCAGCGCTACACAACCTATAAAATTCTGAAAAGATCATACAGAGTTTTCATTTTGCAGCAGAGGCATAATTGTTAAACTGAAATAATTACTCCAGCATAAGCCGAAGAAAACACTGATAATTGTACCCAGCAGGAGAATAAGCTGGAAAAAGTTGGGCCTATCTGGCCAACAGTTAACAACCAACAACTCTATCATCATATTGCAGGTTGATATTTAGACTGATTTCCTACAGAAGCTTCCTCTTCACAACTTTTTGGTTGGTCTTTTCAGTCAAAGATGGAAGAAAGGTATCAGTCTCAAAGATAATCTGACCAATCTAAACAAGATGATGATCGAGTCAAGGTGGGATACCAAATTAATGTCCCCAGCAAGGCAAGGACAGGCAGGATTCAGCACTTGTCCTGTCTGGCTGCACCTTGTCAAACACCACAAATGAAACTCTAAACTAGACATCTTTCAGCTCTTACTTAATGGGTGCATCAATGAGGAGGTGGCTTATTAAAAATCATGGTCATGTGTGTGCACGCGTTGTGGCAGAACGAAGGTTGTGAAGGTAGAGAGAAAGGGAGGTTTAGGAGAACAGAGAAGTCGACAGAAAATGAAACTTAGTTATTCAGAAGGTCATTTTTTGAAAATGCTTTATGCATAAGCACATACATACTGTGGACTGGCATATGCTCAAAATTGGAGACTTTTGAAGGCCTACAGGTATCTGCAATGGTTTATCTCAGCATAACCCATAAAAGAATACTAACTACATCATTGCGGTTAACATTTAAGGTGTAAAGAACCCATTCAACTGTAGATGTATGTGGCTGAAGGAAGAAAATACATACCAGGTGAAACTTTCACAGCAAAATAGAAACTTAAAGATTTTAAGTGCAAACCAGAGACAAAATGCAAAATTAAGGAGGATTTGCATCTATTCCATCCTTCTAGCAAAACGGTGGGCCACTAAGAAGTGCGTCTTTATAGAAAGATGGAAAGCATGCAGCCATAAGCACAAATTATCTATAAAGGAAGGGCACTCAATTAAAATGCAGTTGTGGAATGAGATCCTTAACTGGACAAGAACCTCTGACCAATCCTCTGAAGTAATAAAAAGTTGGGTAAAAATAAATCATAGCAAAGTCCTTCAAGACAATAAATAGTTAGAATAGGAAGGGGATGAAATAGTTGCCAAAGGAGCATTAATGTTGCAGGATTCTCTACAAGTAAATATCCAGAAAGTAGTCTAGTGTTGCCTGAAGAGCTGTCGCCATGGAAGATCTATTCATACATTTCAAGTCTGCATGTTTTTTCAAAGTACATCTGTTTTATGAACTTTCCTTAGCTCTTACAAAGAATATTCTCTTCAGCATCAAGGAGCATACATATTTCACCCCTAAGAGCTACCAAGCATCAAAGCTATGTGATAAAGAGGTTTGACGTTCACGATGGGAAAGTTATCCGAAAAGCACATCTAGAGCTTTAGGCAGTCCAACATATTAATAAAATGGCATAGGGCATGTCCTAAAGCCAAAATTACTTTGGGCACAGCAGGAAGAACAAATCCATCACCATCTTGTTTTCTGGACCACTTTTTGGAAGAAACATGACATGGGATCAAGCAGATACTAGCACATAACCACAGGATTAAGGACTTCTCCAGTACATATAATGGAGTGAAACCGGTTGGAGAAAGGTAGGAATGACAGTTCTCGTTCATCCCTGAAGCACGGATCCATTTGGGATCTGCCAGTTCTAATAAAAATCATTCAGAGCACAGGCTCATTCACACTCCCACATGGTCAACACCTATTATCTACAAGGCTATCTGAGGATCTTGGTGAGCAGTCTGTTGAGAGGTGGGTTTGATACTTCACACAACATTCTCAAAGCAGCAATGATCTTTTGCTCTAGACATGAAAAAAGAAAATCATAGTATTGTAAGAACTGTCTACTTTTAGTAATGCCTGTTATACAAGAGACACACTGCCCACGCTTTTGTCACTTTGCACCTCTGAAATTAGGACATAAAGATGAACCTCCTTGGAATATCAGAGGTCCTGCAACCCAAATATCAGGATCTCCCTTAAGATGGATCTGGAAAACAGCTAAAATGTATGAAGGCAATTCCCTACAAACACAGAATATATGCTGTCTCTGCTGAGGATGACAGCCAAAACCCAAGCCAAACTAAGCTCTTTGATGGGCATGTGAGCACTGACCAATCTCTTCTATGGCCAGGAATATCTTAACTGTGCTGTGAGTTCCGTGGAACAAAAATGCTTAAAAAAGTTCTACTGCAGTACTACAAAAGTGCTAATGCAAAGACCCTCTCTCCTTCCCTTTACTCCTGAACAGTACCACACTGTGCTGCAGCTTGATAAAGACCTGCTAAAGACCATTCAACTCAACAAGATGATGCTGCAAAATTAATGATTCATCAAAAGAGGTGTATTGCCCCGAAACAAAGCACCTCTATCAAAATATCTCCTGGGGCTTGGGTAGATCCTGGAAACAGACCGAGCAGTGCATAGGTTTTACATAACAGAATTCCTGAAGGTCATCCCCTAGAGACAACAGTACAAAGACATTTTAATCCTTTGATGCAAACTAGAAAGGGTTCCTCGAGGATAATTCACAAAAAAAAAAACCCAAGAGACAAAAGGGGACAAGAGGAGTGTTTGCTTTTGTTCATAAAAATACTTGCTGGAAATCATCTTGTATGGGATGAGGAACATCGCAGTGCAGCATAGTTATTAGTTCCAAGGATCAGGCCCATCGACACAAAGGTAAGCTCAGAATGTGATCACTGAGCAAAATACACTCCAAAATCATTTGTGGTTTATACTATTTCTTACGTTGTCACCGCTCATGTCACTGCTTCCTTCCAGGAAGAAAAAGACAAATTTAACATTGAAAGGGATCTTGCTGCAATGAACTTAGGATCAATACTGCATGAGGCCTAAAGAGTGTAAAACATCCAGTGAAAGGTCTAGTGTCTTAACCCTGGCCTTTTGTTATATTTGATAGCAAAAAAAAGGATTGTAAAAGGTATTTCTTTGTGAGGTCTGAGTCTTTGCAAGATTCACAGAACTTGGAACCCCAGATTCAATGGAAGAAAAGCACTTCTAGTGATGTTTTGGGCAACGAGCAGTTCACCACATGCATGCTATGCTTCCTCTTCTGTCTTCCTGGCCTTATCCATTTGAGGTCAGGTTCAGAAGCATCAGTGCAGGAAAGGGCCTACCCAAACTTCTGCAAACATTGCTTGAGTTGGGAGGTCTCCGAATACAGCAGTATTGCCAGATGGAAGAAAGTGGTGTTTCTGGGAAACAATCCCATTGGCACCTCACCCCATAATCTCTCGGAAGACCTGTCTCCTAATCCAGATTCATCCTTAGCTCAGAAAAGGCAAAAGATGAACCTGAACAATCAAGTTTCTAGGTTGCAAGATAAAGTTATGACGGGCTCCACAGAAGACTACGGCTCAGAAAGGCACAATAAAATACTTTGATCCAGCTGGACAATTAAGAAGTACTAAGATGGTGGGAAGGCAGGTGGCACATCCAACCATTCAATTAGAGAAACGAAGTTTAACATCTAGAAAAGAAATGACTCATTCTATTTCTTCCAGTCAGGTTCCTACAGTCCAGTATACCTTCATCCACTGCAGTACTTTGTGATAAGAATACATTACACTTATCCCACTCCTTCCAATGAAAATTCTGTCTGCTTCGTTATGTTGTGAATTTTTTATTACTGTAAAGAAAAAAAAAATTTTTTTTAATTTTACATGTAGTTTTAAAGAAATTACACACTTGAAAAACACAGTAATTGTGAAAATATTAAATACATTTTCTGAAATGTTTGCCATTATAGAACTGAGTAATTACAAGTTTTTCCAACGATATTTTACAACCACTTTGGAAGCACTGTTGGTATTCTAGAGCAGCGGTCTCCAAAGCAGGGTGTGAGCACAACAAACCATTCAGGTATGGGAAGAAAATATTTTTTGTACCATTAAAAAATAAAAATAAAATATTTTAAAAAGTAGTGTTTATTTCATCTTTATCTCATCTTTTTAATTTCTGGTTTTGTGTATGTTTTATAATGTACTTGATATATTTAGTGCAGTCGTACATGTATACAATTTATAAAGAAAGAAAGAAATTGGGGGTGAGTGCTCAAAATTTTTTACTGACAGAGGTGCCTATCAGTTTGGAGACCATTGCTCTAGAGAAGACAGTCTAAGTTCCAAGCCCCACAAAGTCTTCTGTCTGTGTCAGCCCTAGAAGCTGTGATAGCTGTTTTAGAATATAAAAGTCTGTGGTCAGAAAGGTCATGTCACATATCTGGAATAAATACTCATCATGTTTTAGTAGTTAATACAGGTTGAAAGAGATACAAGTCATCCATTATAAAATGCTTTAATATCCCACTGACACTTCATTGAGCCTCACTTTTCTGCAAACTTATTTGGAAGAATGATCCAGATGTGTAAATGAAGGGACATAAGGAGGTAAAGGGTAAGAAAACCTGTCAGAAATATTAAAAAACTAGAAGGTGATTTGTGGACCCAGTCCTTGCAGAAATTCTTGGTTCTTTAGAGAATGAAATAATTCTGAAAATCCAAATTGCTAAAAAAAGTGCAAGTTATATACATGATGTAACCCTGCTCAATTTGTTTTCAAACATACAAATATATATATCTGTATTTACAGCTCTAAAGTTTATTTATGCTATTAAGAGGGTGACACTTCACATGACAATACTTAGAATTGTTTGCCTTTGTCCTGAGAACAGGACATTCTTATTAGAAGACCAACAGTTTTGGTTTCTCTTCTTGATTTCACAAAGCTCAAATGTTCTTCTTTCAGAACTTTCTCTGACTTTAAGTGTAAGCACTGCAGATTTTACTTCTACTAGAAAATGGCTTCTATTGAGCATTTTAGCTGACTGTATTTACAACTCAAGAAATTCTTAATATTGTAACATACGGAATTAATGGATATTCAGAAAACAGTATACAAATTTGGTTTTTTACCTCTTTTAAAAAGGCTACAAAGAATAGGGACAAAAAATAAGCATCTCTTGCATCTTAATTTTACCTGCATCAGCAAAATCACAAAAAGGAACTCCTGGTTTTTCTGTCTCAGAATCTCTGGTTAGTATTTCAGCAACACATAAAGACAATTTCTGAAAATCAAAATGTTCGCATCCAGTTCTCGCATTAACATACAAAGCTCCCAGCTTGGTCCAATCACTTTTTTCCCTGCAATGCTGTGAAGAAGGCAAGGGATAAATATAAGCGAACTTGCTTCCAGAACACCAAACAGAAACTACATTGAAATTTGAGAGATACACCTGGGATAGACTTAAAGCTGAAAAAAAGATGCAGATGAAACGCTACTGCCAAGAACCTCCGTGTTCAATACAGCACAGTTACATTTTTCCTAACTTGCATGGACTGCTAATCACTTTTGTCCCTCAAGAAATTAAAATCCTTTTTCCATTTACATCGTGACCCCAATTGGGGAAGCTCATAATTTATTCATACTATTTAAGAATTGGCATTCATCCAGCAATTTACAATTTTTGGTTTTGGTTTTATTGTTTTTGTTTTTTTTTTTTTTTTTTTTTTTTTTTTTTGCACAATGCATGCCGAATTGATGGTTATTTTCTATATGAATTAATCTTTTGCTTGCCAGATCACTTGATGAATTTGGTGTTAAGAGAAAAAGAATCAGTCCTGGTTCTTCCCTTCTTAAATTTTTGTGTCAGGATCTGTGCAGGTGTGATAATATGTACACTATATTATAATTGTGCATAATAAGTAATCTGCCCTTGAATATGAAAGACGCAAGCGTCTAATTAAAGAATTTTTTATAATATTTTCTTATTCTTTAGAATACCTGCTTAGCGTTGCCAATTACAACCTTTTACAATTGTGCCTTTTTATACTAGATATTAATTCTATCTGCTAAATAATATATGAAATAATTTTTTTGATGAGGAATGATGTATCACTAACAATTACAAGCACAACAAATGTAAGGCATAGGAAATAATAGGTTAAAATTGTAAAATCTTTGAATTAAACACAAAACCAAGAAAAAAAACCTGCAAGTATGTAAATTAAAATACTGACATCACAGGAAAGCCCAAGACAGTTTTCCCCAGCACGTTAATCTTTCCCAAACATGGCTTTGCAAGAAAAATATTTTATCGCAAACTCAATATACTTAATAATAAAGCCCACTAATTTTAAATGATGTAGAAATTGCTATTTCTTGCACGTTTAAAAGAAGTCATGGTTTAAGTATGCCAACAGGCTTGAGGAATGCACATACTGTACCTGAATTTCAGTTGCTGCCAAGTTGAAGTCAAAAAGCCAGTTCTTTTCAAAATGTCTTTCCTGAAATCTTTCATAAGAAAAACAACATTAATACTTAATTTTAACACATCCTATTGAACTAAACTATGCACTAGCAGAAGGTGATCAACAAATTATCATATATGAACCAAAAACTGATGTTATTTTTGATCCTATTTACTGCACACTATGCAAACCGGACACTGAAAACAGACATTTACAATCATGCTGAAAGAAGTCAGTATATGTATTAAGCAAATAATTGAGCAGAGCTATTTTCATGGAAAATACTCCCTTGTCTTAGTAGAAATGTAACTGAAAAGACTTCCAAACCATTAAGTAAATGCAGAACTCTATTGTATATATTTCTGACACAAAGGTAAAAAAAAAAAAGTTAAATTACATGAAAGAAAGTGCTATTCAGCTTCAGATACCTAGGAGCGTAGTACTTTATTCTGATGCTCCCACTGAAACAATGGATACATCTACCCAGTGTGATGCTATCATGTAGATACACATAACCTACACATGAATGAGCTAACACATGTAGTTGGAGTAGCACTGCTGCTCAGTCTTCATAGATACAGACTGCTTCTCACTTTGTGCTGAAAACTCATACATGCTGAGGCAACCTGGGAAGTGTTATTCCTTTGTGAATCAGATTCCTGACCTGAAAAGTCATAAAAATTACCTCCAACATGTGTGGTAAGTTGCACTGGTAAAACACTGAGATCCGTGGCTGAAAGGTACTTTATGGGAAAAGTATGAAAAGCAGCAAATGATTTCCACAGTGCTTTCATTTGAAACAGTGATAGCTTGTTTTCACACAGTAGGTGCTGCATCTTTGGTTTCCTCCAAGATTTATGAATCACAAATTTAGTTTCTCAACTTGTGTGTGTGTATGATGCAGATGATACAGAAAAAGAAAAAAGGACCACCATCTTGTCCAAGTGATGGGAAGACATCAATAGTTTTGGAACAGATTTGGGCTGTGATTTCACATTTCGCCCAGCATAATCTAGCAAAACTTCTCCACAGTTGCACTGGCACAAGTGTTTAAGCAGTTGCACAGTAAATGAAACCAGAAAACTACTTCAGATCATAACTAATCCTCTTATTGCCTAGACGGGCTGTTTATTGCAGAAGTACTGTTTGCTTATGCAGGCCTAAATGATATATTAAACCATGATGTTTCTAATTTGACAACAGTTACATAAACTTGTAGCACAGCTAGGAACAGATTGTACAAGGATGATCAATATGGAAAAACCTAATTGTAACTGTGGTCAGAATCTAAGTTTTGACTTAACAACCCTTGATCTTTGGAGCACAGTAGATTGACAGCACTTTAAAATACAATTAGGCATGATATGATAGAATTTTCATCCAAACCACTAAATTTGCATTTTCTAATCACCTTTTAAAATTTTTTACATAAATTTATAAAAATAGAACCTGAAGAAGGAACTAGACAGATACAATTATAAAATAGCTCCTTAAAGACATACCTGGATTTTATGTTCAAAACAGTATTTATTTCCTGACTGGAAACTTGCAATTGATGAAGGAACTTAATAATACAGTCAAAATGTTCAAACTCAAGGAACATACCAGCATCAATGAGCTGTAATATCAAACAGGGGGAAGAAAAGTAAACATACAAAAAATTGTGATCACTTACCTATTTCCCGAGGCAAGTGGCAACCAACAGTGGGAAAAAACATATCACAGTGAATCTCAGTCAAAAAACAAGGGATAAATGGAAACCCATACCACAAATTCAGCTAGTCACAATATAACTTTTTAAAAAATAGTACTGAAATAATATTAAAATGGTATGTTTTGAGTTTTAAAACAGGCAAGGTATTTCAGAAATTGCACCAAGTAGCAGTAGTACAATCAAACTCATACCTTACAAAAGGTACTGATTAATGTAGGCACAGCGTCTCTTATATTCAAAGAAGCCACATGCTCAAAAACTTTCAGAAGAACATCTACAGCTGGCTAATTTAGACAAAAAAGCACAATCAGTTTTGCAACTCGGTTCAATTAGAAAGCTTAGTGTGTTTATAATAGGAACTTTCAAATTGCTCTTTCCTCCTCCCCAAGATTTGAGTACCAGAGTAAAACCAAACTTATTACTACAAATGGCATAGTACTCAAGAAACTAAGAACTATAGATCAAAGATTTTAAAATATTAAAAGGTCACCTACCAGTGTATTGATTTGCATAGTTACATTAAATATCTGAAATACTTCCTGCAACAAACAGTTCTTGAGCAAAGAAATGAGAAGATCATTCAGCACTTGAGAAGCAAAATCCGCACCAGGAGTAACTTCTCTGTAATATTTCACAAATATTTGGACTGAAAAAGCAATTAAGTTAATTTCATTTTGGGGTAACTGATGCCAACTATTTAAACAGGTTATTTCCTTAAATTTTAAATGCAGTGAAACAACCCTTAATTATCCAGGATATTATAGGACAGGGATATGGAGAAAAATGGATGAAAGGATCCAGATTGGATACAGTGTTAACCTTACTAGACCCAGACTATTCTGAAATACCTGATGTCATTGACCTGAACACCATAAGCCCTGTAGGTTTCAAGAAAGCTTAGCTCATTTGGTGCAGCACAAGAAAAATGCACAAACCCACGTTCGATTTGGTAAGCCCATCAAGGTGGCAGGGCCTTTCCAGACATGAAGCTCTAGGAAGTGAAGTGCAGTGTTATCACGGTGCATGGTCTTAGAACCTGTGCCAGTGCTAGCCTTGACTGACAGGTACTGTACCCTCCTGGTACCCAGTGTTATCTGCATTATAATTCTCAGTATTTCAGCATAGGAACCTTACTACACAGGGTGCAACTGGATGCCACAGTCACATTGTGCTATACTCTAATAAGCTTTCAAAAATTTCAGCACTGCTTGGGACAGATACAAAAGGAATGATTGTCCAGAGTAGAATTTAGCTCTTTCTGACTGAACTCAAAAGCTCAGATGGATGTGAACCAACTACAGTCCCTAAAAAGTGTTAATCATAATTGCATATATGGTAATGTGAAAGGACAAAACTAAAGCTGTCTGGGTGCTGTAATAGCACTTCATTTCAAGAGCTTAATTCTAAAGTTGTCGGATTCGTGATGTTTGGCCAGGGTGCTCAAAAGTGCCTTAACAAAATTTTGGTTCTGTTAAACCTCCCCCCTGCCCCAGTTACTCATTTCTACTCTCAAGTCTAGCTCCATTCAGGTCAAGTTCATTTTCTGTGGAAGTAAGATTTATAACAACCTCCGGAGATAACTGTGTATTGAAATACCTAGCCTCCATGGGAAACTGGAACATGAACAGACATGGATTGGATGTATTCCTTCAAAATCAGAACTTCTAACTCACTGTTGAAGTAGCACCCATTTCTCTCCTGAGAGCCTATTTGCTTTAAATAAGCAAATATCAAAGATACATCAAAAGCTACTACTATATCATACCTGCACGTTTTAGAAGGCCTGATTCTTTGATACTAATGTATGTCCTAAGTATTGCCATGCAAATCTAGAAAAAGAAGAAGAAAAAAAAAAATCCATAGAAAAATGTTACCTCAGTTTATGCCAAACAAACGAACTACCCACAAACATGAGTTCCATAAGGAAACGAGCTTTACACTGCTTCTATTTAACCCATACATACTGATAAATGGTGTAAGAAGGTAACTGGGTCTGCAGGCAAAGGCACTGTCAAAGGGACAGCAAATCAAATAGAAAAATAATGTAGATGAAATGATTGGGAAAGGAGCTGCTGGGACCACAACTGCATGCATGTGTGTGTATATACTCACAGCAAACAAAAAAAAAGAATTTGAAAAAATAGTTACTTTAGAATTAGTATAAACTTGGCAGACTGTCAACAAACAGAGAAAGGGAAGCAAAAAGGTGAAAGTGAAAACATGATAAACAAAAATTACATGAATGTACCAAGCAGTCAAAAAATCATCTAAAAATGAAGCTGTTAACACTAATCATCACAAAGAATCACTCATAAGGACACAGGAGAAAAAAAACTCAGAACTAACTTGATTTAATGAACCATTTCACCCAGACCACACTTGATTAAAAAAACCCCCAAACAATCCACAACTAGGTATTATAGTGTGTTATTAGGTATTGGAACATTCTTGTCTTAACATCTTAAGCTGTCAGCTTTGTGATACTTACACATTTTGCTCCATCTCTGCAGATGAAGAAATAAAGACTACTGAGATTAAATCTTAGAATTCCAAGTTAGGAAAAAAAAACCCCACCCACCCTTTCAGATACACTTTGTCACTTCTGGAACACTTACAATCTTTCTCCACAGCAATGTAAATGAGTCATATTTAATACTATTTTGTGAAACAATGAAAAATTAAGAGGCAGAAAATGCCCTAAATTAGTACTCATGTTATTACAGAATTGAGTCAGGTTTATTTTTCCATGCAACTTCAAAATTAGACAGGATCCACTCATGGAGTTTGTCACACAGCAAAAGAATTATCATGAAAGCAGAAGATGCTGGCTTGTGGCCAACACATCCTTTTTTTTTCTTTTAAAACCATTAACCTGTTCAGATCAGGTCAAAGAAATTGTAAATATACAAAATATACAAAAATTGTAAATCTAAGTATGTTGAATATAAATAAAGCTTACTGTTTCTATTTTGAAACAGTGTCATAATGTTGTTGAAATGTAGCCTAAGATACACCTTTCAGAAAACCAGGTAGAATCTTTGATCATTAACTTATATGCAGTGTCCCTTGGTAATGGGTTAACTCATTTAATCCAAATCTACAATCCCAGGTGGCTGAGGGCATTTCCGAAACAAACTCCAGCACATGCTTATGGTACGTAAATTAGTTTGCTTCCTTTTGGAATCTATTTTCCTCCTTCTTTGGACTGACTCCCCAAAAAAGCCAAGATTGCATCTGGACCTGTGACTGTTCCAAGTATTGGTGAAATTGCTCGGAAAATCCAGTTGTACTAGTATTTAATCACGGGACGCGTTACATTACATTCATAGAAGAAACTAAACATGCTCTTCATTTACAGCTCTAAGGAGGCTTCAGTTGATTTAGTTGTTTTGATTTCAAAAGGTGTAACTGAACCTATAGGCCATGTAAAAACGTAAGAAACTAAATTTAGAGTTAACCATAATAAATCTCGAATGAAGGTACACAAAAGGGTCGATTCCCATTTTCAAAAGGTAGTATACCTCACACTATTCTGTCATCTATCAGTTGATTCCACAACTCATTTAACATGACAATTTAATAAAAAATGTTACCAAAGGGCTGTGTATTTTATACAAGCAACCAACTGTGCACTAAAACACAGTTCTACTACAGTAACAGAGGTGCTTAGATCAGAAGAACAAGCACCAGAATTATTAAATCCTTCAGCACCTCCCAGTCAGTGTGGACTCTGATGTTTAATAAGAGGGAAAACCCCATGCTGCAGCCCTTCGCTTAGTGAGATCAAAACCAGGATCCTTCTTACAAGAGATTCTGTTTATGAACCCTGTGGCATCTTTGAGACACAGGCTCCATATTAAACATGGCCAAAAATGACCAACAGGTGCAAAAATGATTTAAAAGGTGGTTAAAGACAGTAATAAAAGGACAGTGCAACTTTAAGTCTCATTTCTTTAGGAAGCCAGATTAAAAAAAAACAACACACCAACAAAAACCAAACAGAAACAAAACAAACCTCCCCCCCCAACCCCAAAACACAACAGAAGCGTATACTCAAGGCCAGGAAGTTGCAAGACGACATTAATGAAGACATAAATCTTCCTATTTTATATTCTGTTTGTTTCCAGTTAGAGGTTCTTAGGATCAAGGAAAAAAAAGAGTAAGAAGTCACAAAAAGTAAACATTTCTTTACTGAGTATGAGTGCAAAAAAGTTAACGAGTAAGGTGCCCAAAGCTAAAATAAAATCAGAGACATACAGTTTGCATGAAGACATGTTTTCAAACCACTTAACTGTGCAATTATTATCTATGCTACAGACTGAAGTGTCATGCAAGCAAAACTGAATTTACTGTAATTTCAATTTATGCCCACTGCCTCTTGTCCTTTCACTGGTCACCACTGAGAAGAGTCCAGCTTCATCTTATTTACCCACCCGTCCACATCAGATACTGATACACATTGTTAAGATTCCTACCTCCCCTTTAAATACTTTGGGAAGTATTTAAAACATGGTCTTAATGATTTTGTTTACTTTGCTTAAGACAAAAGAGATTTCACTGTTTGAAATTACAGGCATCTTTTAAAAAAAAACAAACGTGGTAACTTGTAGAGCTTGTTGAGCTCAAGAGTACATTGATTTTCAAAACATATGATGTTTTTATGAATTAAATCACTGCTGTGTTGTGTGATCAACCACAACTGTGAAGAGTGCTAAATCCTAGTTAAGTTATGCCTTAAAGCATCAACCTGCTATTTAATGAAAAGGAAGGAATATCCATTACGGGGAAAGGCATTTCTTTTCAAAAATTCTGGCAATGGTCATCACTGAAAACACAGTACTAAGCAAGTGGACTACCAGTCTGCATAACAGTTCCTAAAGAGATTTATTTCCCCTGTATTTGACTCGATGATTTTGTTGCTGCTTTACCTGTCTTCCATTTATGTACTTTGGTGCCACCATGAGGTGCTTGGCCTATTATAATTTTTAAACGGACAGTTCTAAAAAAAATAAATAAAATAGATACACAAACAAACAAAATCCAAAGCATACGTCCAGACTACAAAGAAAGTTAGTCTACGTTTGGTGGGCAGAACAGTAAGTGTGCTGGAGTGCTGCATCACAAGTAAAATCAAATGGAATGGATTTTTAATAGTTTTAGGCAAACAATTTAATTCTTTAATGTGTCTGTATATAATGAAGCACTACAAACCATGGTAATTCGTACAAACTAGCTGAAAAATTACTGATATTCACTACAGCTTGACAAAGATCTTTCACAATTGAGGAAAAGGGAAAATGTCTCGTACAAAATCACTCTCAAATGCTCTTAGCATTTTTAAGCTGTCATATAAATTTTCAAAGGGCTTACAAAGCATTAGGAAAAAACCCAACCAGCTCTTTTTTGAGACATAAAAAGGAAAAGAGAAAACATTAAGAAAAATAAAACCAAAACACATTGATGTATTTTAAAAATTCTGACACAGCGTGTCAAGGAGGTGGATAAGATATCAAGGAGATGGATCGGCTCCTTTAGATGCTACCTTTTTTCCTTCCTCCAGTATTTATGTCTAACAGCTTCACCATAAATTATTTTTTACATTTTGATTCTGTAATTTCTTTCTTACTGACACCAATGACAAAATTGTAGTCATACCAATAAGATGGGAGATAAGAAATAAATCTTGAAAGATCTGGTGAGGACAAGTTTAGGCATTTGTCTGTGTTTAGTTGTTTTAACGCTTTCGTTTACTTCCAAGTGACTTACAGAACTGCCTAAATCATGGTTTCATACAGCCAGTCCCAAAATCTTATTACATGACAGCACATTTAGCTTGCCTTGCACAGTTCTTGGAAGTATTACAGACTCATAATTTCTTTGTTAAATGGTTTGAAAACACATCTACTTTGCCCACTACTGGAAAAGTATTTTTGCTTGCAAATATTATGAGAATCATTGCTCCATTTAAGGAGATTACAGCATCTTTAAACAAACATGCCCTTGTTGCAAAAAACTTGCAGAAAGGAATATACCATAGATGGCTTTTGACTTTAAGAATACATATAAAGTCTGGGTTTGCTTACACGTCTTTGATGCTTGGGATAGAAATGTCTCAGAATCCCCCCATTCTACTACTCTATATTCGTACAGTCTAATTCTTGCTCTTTTGCTGATGTCTATTCTCTGAAAAAGTCTACTAGCTCAAAATTCTACTTTTTTAAAAAAAGAACTTTAAAAGACCTTGAGAGGAAGAATTTCTGAACATTTTTTGATCCATCAATCTCTGAAATTTACGCCCTTTCCATATATAAATGAACACAGGAAATGTCATTTTGCATTTAAAAAGTGTTCACACTTACAATCTGTTCCTTTCTTCAATAAATCTCTTTACCTTTTCATCCCCTTGTTCAGGAACATGCCAAAACCAACATTTTGCTCTTTCACACCCACGCAAAGTCATGAAATAAAATCTGCAGTATTTACGGGGCAATTCAATCATCTGGAGGATCTGCTGGACTGAACGAGAAGCCTAAAATAAAATTAAAATAAGCAGAAAAACACAACAGAAAATATTTTTTGAAAGCAAAAATGTGGGTTTTTTTGAGAATTTCAAAATACCTACAAATTATAAACAAAAGCAAAAAAATACATGATCTACAATTAAACCTTTGAAACAACCCTCATCTCTATGCTGTATTTGCAGCATTTCAAAGCAGACCAAGATCAATCCCTTGTCATGTTGTGTTAGTGCCTAACACAACAAAAATCTGTCTTGAAGACCACAGACAGAGAGAATGCAGGAACTGCTAAATGAGACGGACAGTCAGTAGAGAGGAGGAAGAAAGGTGACAAACTCCTGCATGGCTCTGGATAACAGTCTGAGAATTCTGGGCCATCAATTTCCTTTACTCTTTTTCAGTGCTCAGTATAATGGATAATGCAGTCTGTCTTAAACATGTGAAATCTTGTCTGTTTTTCAGTTCTACAAAAACAATAAAGCAAAAAGCGTAATTTGATTTTGCTTAAGTTGGAAATAAAAATCAACAAAGCTCCACTGTGAATAGCTGTCCCCTCATCATTGATTTTGTTCTCAGAAATTGTATTTACTCAGCGAGATCATCTTTAGAGGAGCAGAAACATAAAAATACGTAGATTCATAATTTCTGCCTAGATATATGGAGAATTGTCTGAATATCCATAACAAAATCAGTGCCAAAGGATCAGAAATCATTAAGGATTTAACAACTCACAAGTGCATTTTCTTCCATCTTCCATGGTTCAAAATTTCCGTAATTTTGCAATGGCAGTAAAGGACTTTTTCCTGAAGATCTGTAATCTAAAAATAGGATGAGGGCAATAAATGGATCATGTAATAAACTGAAATCTTACTGAAACCAGTCTCATTTATCTTATTTTCCTTTATATTTATAGTTTCTTCAAGTCACAGCAATGATTAATGAAAATTTGATTAATACAATCTAAAGCTAGTAATTTAAGTCACAGCTTTCTTAATTACCCTAAAATCGAGACTTTACAAAACTTCAAGAGTAAGCATATTTAAATTAAAAACTTCACTACTTTATCCAAGGTTTCTACTCTAACTTAGAGAGATAAGAAAAGAAATGGAATAAAAATATCCAGAAGTTTTAATTTCAAAAAGAAAAAAACCCCCACTTTATCAGCAATCTTTGCATTCCCACATCACTAGCCATAAATTTAGACTATTTTTCCAGAATCGAAATAAAACCTTTCATACTCTATGTTTTAAATAGTGCAGTATCAAGCTTAAGCCCAATGTAAGTTACTGGTTTCTTAACCATGAAACATGGTTTTAGAACTTTATTATCGATAACAGATTTCTTTCTCTGAAAAATGAGTAATGTTAATGGAAGAAAAAAATTCAATTTTTCAACTCCGTATATAAAGAGAAACAAGAGCTTTTGAATGCCTTGTTTCTTAGAGTTTCTGACCAGGACTTTTCAACAGTTTGTACTCTCCCTGCCGACCGTATGACAAATTTGTAGGGGAGCAGACACTCAAGTGAAACAGCCAATCCTGCCTGCAGTTCTTTGGGGGAAAAAAAAGGCTGTTTTGCCCACCCCTAGCACAGAAACTCTTGCTTCGGCAACAGTTTCAAATGATTTTAAGAAGGAAGATATAGAAGAACTCTTCAGAAGGTGTATACGCTTTTAAGGCCAAAGACACGAGCAACTGAAAACTAATGTAGTCTAGAGACGTATTTCACAGTTGCTGTTTACAGCATCTATGTTTCTTGCACTTCCTGAAAATATTCTTAAATGACATGATGATAAAATCATTCTACAAGCTCAGACTGGCAGTATAATTTGAAACTAAGCAAGAACCTCTGCACTGATCTCAATTTAAGAAATCAATGTTTATAAACATCCATATTAACCAATAATTCTAAAAACATTAATTCCCAAAGCAGCTGTTGCAGAGAAACACAATACAATATCTACCCATTAAGTAATCAATTCCTGTTTTTCTCTATCTTGTACGCCAAATAAAACTATGCATTTATGTAAGGCTAAGTGTCAGAGTTGTTACGTGTAGAGAAAAAGAGAAGGAAACTTTGGCTACAGTTCCATTACATGATGATTTCCCTGGCGGCAGAGACACTTAAGAGGTATCTGTCCCAGGTGTGAAATACACCAGGTCAAAATGGAAGTGCTGCTTATTAAATCTAAATAATTTCCTTGATCCTGCCTAGTGAATGCCTCACGAACATTTGAACTGGCATAAACAACAAAGTTCTGACCTTCGGCAAGGTGGGGAAATCCCTTAGCCAAATTTTGCCAATAGATAACAAACAATCACGAAAACCTGCAGTCACGTTTTCTGACCGCAAATAAAGAAAAACAAGTTATTTGCCAATCACAGAATCATAGAATCGTTATGGT